TTAATTTAATATTTTTCCCCAAAGCTAACATTAACAACAAGATCTTAAAAACCGATCTGTCAATGTTATCACAAAAATGATTTCTATTTATTTTTTGTAAAAGCATTTGGAAAAAAATAGTACTCCTCCTATCCTAAACATAAAACCCATTTTTGTAGTACAATTTACACTATAAAATGAGTCTTGTATTTGAAACTGGTGTAGTATTAATTAATTATAACATATCCCAAAATTGAATGCCACACGCTTTCTCCCTGCAACACGCTTTCTCATATACCTTTCTCCGCTACCTCCATTTTTTCTTCATTTTAGTTCTGCTCTTACCGAATATGGACTCCTTCACTTCTTTTGCCCGATAAATCGTCTTCTTTTTTCTTTTTCCCCTCCATTCTTGACTTTTTACTGTCTCCTTTACGTGGCTCCCATTTTCTTTCCCACTCCTTTTTCCCCCCTCTTCCTAATTTCCCAAGTGAAATCGTTCTTTCTCCTTTGCTTGCAAACCCGCTGTGGGAGCTTGAGTTCGTGGTCTCCATTGGGTGAGGGTGGTGATGGATAGTCGGACACTCTCATATAACGGTAGGGAGTGCTTCTGGAGTAGAACTTGCAGGTAAATCCAAGCCTTCTTCATCCTTTCACTCTTCTACATATCCTCTTCAAGTATTCCTCATAGTTCTATTTTACCTTTTGTTTTAATGTATTTTATTCTTCTGTAAAGGGTTTTCCTTGCTAAACGAAGAGTTTTTAAAATTCTTCACAAAACAGGCTAAACGTTTACATATTGAAATTTCACTGTCAGGTGTTCATCATCCATCCTCAAAGCTTATGTTTCTATTACATATCATGTAGTATAAAGTCAATTCAAATCCTCCATTGTTTATTTCCCTCCAAATGGATTAGTATTAATTTGCTTCCCATCCCTACTATAGTACATGGTTCTTGAATTAGACTCTTCGGTGTTTTTTGTTGGAATTTGTTGAGGTGTTCTAAACATCAAAATCAAACTCACCCCTCGCAAGTTATAAGGATTTTGGTATTGAATTTGGAATTTGAATTCAATGGTGTACATTATCTATGTATGACATTTGGTACTCAATGGAGTGTGTTGTTTATCTATTTAATAAACTCTTTTAATGAGCGCTGTATGGGTTGAGGTGGTATGTCATAGACCCAAGTGTTACCAAGGTCAAAGCTCATTTATGGCATTTTGTTGCTCTTTTTGTGAGTTGTTGTTCTCTTGTATTTTGGACATGTTCGTGTTAATTTGGCCTAATGTAAGTTTGCAATTAACGTCTCCTCTGTGAAGTGCTAGATTAGAACCGGCAGGATCAATGCTACTTGAGGAAATGGATTTGTTGGGGGTGGACATGGAAGAATTTCAACGTTTTCGGTAAACATGATGATACAATATTCTTGGTGCATGGAACGACACAGAATCTTTTTTTTTTTTTGGGCAAATGTAATTTCTCATTATGTCTCTCCATGGTTCTCAGTGTTATGATAAGTGCATTTATGTTAAAGAAACCTGCTCTATACTTTTCGAGAGGAATGAGTTTTGGATGTTCTTGCAGTGCTGGTGGTGCAAGGGCATATTGTGATGCTGTTCCCCGAGTCTTTATGTTTGCAACTGTAACTACATAGACAAACACACTTCTACTGGAATTTCCTAAGTACCCTCTTTGAATAAATGTTTATGTCCAAAATCAGGCAACGGCATCGTGTCCTTTATATTGGGGTCAAGTTTAGGTGATTGCAGTATTTAGCCTATTGATCCTCTTCAAATAGGTCTCAGGAAGAGGGAAGAAAAAAAGGTAGATTCAAAGGTATGAAACATGAAAGTAGTTAAAATATTAAGGCCCTTTGGTCTCCTAGATTGTACATAGGCTCATAAAGTATATTCATATTCAAATCAAGGAACCATAGGCAGCAATCATAACCATGGTATTGTGTTGAAAAAATCCGTTCAAGAGTTATGCAAAAGAAAATCACGACACACTAAAGACATGAATGTTGTTCAAGTGAGTTTGGAGGCATTTGGCAGGCTGAATTGTGCACAGGGTCTTTGATCATTGGGCTATATTTTGTTACCTTCATGACATCCTTTTGGGGAATAACAGTAATAATTTTAAAAAATAAGCTTTTACAGGCTCTTCTATAAGAAAAGGTTGTCTCTAGCTTTGTACCTAGCATATTATCCAATGTGCAAGACTAATTTACTTTTCAAGAAAATGCAAAAAGCTTACAAGAAAATAAATGTTAAACTTTTGCATAAACGTGCAATCTAAAATGCCATTTCAAAATAAAAGTATTCGGGCAAAAATTTGGAAATTATCATAGACCATGCACCAAAATATAACGATATAACGATATGAGCTGGAAAAGAGATACTTCTAGCCATTTCTTTGATTTATCGTTGGCAAAAAAGAAAAAATTGACTTATGACAAAGTCACAATTATTATGGTATGTACTCCTCATGAATAGAGGAGGCAATTTCAATATCATTATCTGCATATAAAAGTGCATTATAATGTGTTGATACTTTTGGGATGATATAGATGGCAATAAATTAGTATTATTGATTATATTGATTGAAGTAAACTCTTCCCGGGGGAAGTATATAATAGTAACTAACAATAATAAAATTTGCAAGTGCATATATAGAAATTTACAACTCCTAATTCACAACAGCTAATACAAAATTTACAAGTATTCATAGGTAAATTTATAAGTGCACATAAGTATTTTAACAAGTAACAATAGTAAAATAATAAGTATCTATACAAGGGAAGGATATTTGGTCACTTACCATCAACACATAATTACATTTTGGTCCTTTCGTACTGTAATGTATTTTCAAAATCTTTTAAGAGTGAATGAAAATTAAGTTGTTTCTCTAGTCCTTTAATAATATTCTTCCAAGAGCACACTCCCTCCGGCACTTATTTAAGAATTTATGCATGTTTTATAATATAACATATATTGTTTAAAGTATTAATTTTTTTCTACCTAATATAACTAACTAACCATAAAATTATATAATTAACAAATTAAAACTTCTCTAACTAATTACTTTGTGATTAAGGAATTACTCTCTTCGGGCAGCTCCTCACCTGTTGTGAGTTTAGAGTTTCTGAGCTACACAGTTACTACTGCCCAAAAATGTAATGCAAACTTTCCCAAAAAATATTTCTAGATTGAGATTTTGATGAGAAACTCCGAAAGCTTGGCAGCACATTTGAATCCATTGATGGGCTATACATATTTTGACGAGTGGCGTTATTCATAATGCTTATAAATATTGTGGCCACTTTCAGAGCTTTTACGGATGCCTGATTAATAAATGGTTTAATGTTATTATCTTTTTCTTCCTTCCTCTGTTCTCTTGTTATTAATTTTCCGAACATTGCTAGATGATAGCAGAGGACACCACACATTGATTTCACCATACCCTGTTTTAAAGCAAGTATAACAGAGCTTCCTTTGTCGTCTTTGAATAATAATTATAATAATTGAATAACTTAATAATATTCAGAATTGAACAATAAACATGAATCAGTTGCAGTGAAGTGATCTACCACGCCTTTAGGTTACTCTGTAAGAAGTACTTCTCATCAGTTTATAACAACTAGTTTCGATGCTGATGATCTAAATTTAAAATTTTCAACTAATAATTTTTAAATAAAAAATTTATTTTAGAAACTTATGATTAAAAGATTATATTTATTTTAGATTATCTACCTATTAAAACAAAATATTTTCTAAAAACAAAGATATAAAAAATTAAATCTCGACCGTTCATATTAAATTTAAACGGTTGAGATTGATGAGTATTATGATGTTCATTACTGCGATGACTACCGAAACTAATAGGCAAAAGCGCTACCACTAAATATATTGAGTGTGCAGCTTCTTTTTTTTTTTCACCAGAAATTTTTGCATATTCATAGAACCAGAATGTCACGAACGGTCCAAAATTTTCCCTCACTTGTACGATGCCTTTTTAATTCCAATGAAGAACATTGCCATTCGATCTGCTCGACCAAAGTTAATTCCTTTTCATGCAGATTATAATTCCTTCTTTCTACTATTTTTTGTCTGTGTCTAGTGCGGATAGCCTTTTCTATACTCTTTTGTATATGCCTTTGTAAAGAATGAGTTTTGAAGAAACCTCCCAATCAGTTTCGAACATTACACATTGATCATAACATGCTCTGTTTTAAAGCAAGTAAAACAGAGCTTTCTTTTTCGTTTGGATGATGATGATAATAACAATTATAATAATAATTTCCTTTGCCCGAGAACTGGGGGGAAAATAAATTAAGACAATAAAAGGAATTGTCATTTTTGGCATCTCAGAAGTAACATCCGTAAAAACAGTCATAGCTTTATGGTTGTGGAGTCTTGAGAGATCTGATACTAAACATAGAAGAAATATCAATATCCAGTTAAAGATAATTTGATTCGTGTGAGACCAAAGCAAGCAGGGAGATCAAAGCCTAGCTCATCATGTAGATTTTGTTTTGTTGAAAGATCCTCATTATTGTGCAGAATCCATCTTCCTATATGTTATAAATCTTTTCCTCTCTATTTGCGTGTATGCAGTTGTTCTGATTTGATGGAATGGATTAACATTCTACCCACAAAGAAAAGAGAAATTATGATTCTTATTGTTAATATTACTATTATTAAAAACAAAGATTTATTAAAAGAGAAATTCTGAAGATGACGCTAAGGTCTTAATCGCCTATGGAAGGGAATTTGCCTTACTTATACGATGCGGATTTCGATATCCAACAAGAACAGGGAAAATGCATTGACTCAGAATCAAAGATAATGAAGACTTGTGGATATATGATGCTGGAAATACATCTGCACACATTGATTTCACCGTGCTCTGTTTTCAAGCAATACAGATCGTTCTTCTGTGTTTGAATAATAATGATAATTCAATAACTTCATATTCAAAATTACTGTGCCAAAACAAACCAGTACAGGAAGAATATTATGAACTGCCATGCGGTTCCACCCACTCCGACTTTAAAATTTCAATATTTTTTATAAACATTGTTTCGAGATGGAAGGTATTCTTGTCATAACAAGTACATCAAATGCACATCGGTTTATTTTTAATCACCGAAAAAAACATGAAGCATGAAAATAAAATCCAAGCTAAAATCCAAAATGTTTATTTTTAGCAGCAATCATTTCCCAGCATTGGTTTTGCCTTGCTAGAATCTCTTGGCGGGCCTTCAAAAGCTGAGTATGATTTGCCATTACATTTGCATGCTCTTGCAATGCAGCATCCAAGTCTTTTTGAACTAATTGTGCTTCCTCAACCCCTTGATTGCGAGTAGCCGCAAGCAATGCCTCATTGGTCTTGAGATCACTGTCCAAACCTTTTAGAGTTTCTTGGATTTCATTAACTTTAGACACATCACAATTAAAAACCTTAGTCCTAATAGATTAAACCCAGTCCTTGTCAAAGCCAAGAAGACAAGCATCCTTTAGTTTCTCTTCCAGTAACCTCTTGTCTGCCTCAGTGATTGTGAAGGGTGTTCTGGTGGTTAGAATGTTGAGTATGTCAATCAAAACCCTATAGGATATGCATAGCATTTGGGTGCTTCTATCATTTGGAGGCAGACGTAGTTGTGGATGAGTCATGAGTGCCTCTGCCAATAAAGAAGCCTCAGAACCCTCTAATTTCATCATCTCAACTATCTCTTGCACCCCACCAACATTCAAAGCCCGATCAGTCTCAATAACAGAAGGGGCCAACTTTGACGGAGTGGAAAATGGAAGCAACGAAGATTGTGCATGCTTAGTATTAATATCTGATGATTTTGTCACATCAGGATGCTCCATTTGGCCTAATAAACCATCACTATTAGTAGAATATTTAAGTGGCCTAAAGGAACATTATCAATTAAAAGGAAATAGGTAAATGACCTCTAGAACATGACGGCTCTTGTTCCATCTGCCTAAGGTTGCTTGGATCAGCAGTTACATGCTCAATTGAATTTGGTTGACCACCATGGGACGCCATATTTTCCTTGGATTCATCTTGAATTACATTTGTCTCATTGATTTCCTTGCCACTAATGTCCTTGTAAAGAGTAGTTGGCTGTGGATTGGGTACAGCATTACCACTAACAGTGGCATGAGACTTATCAGAAATTTGAATATCAGCTGAAACATCATGAGTGTGATGGTTAGTGGTTTCAAAACCATTTTGTCTACTTCTTCCTAAACTAATAAAGCAATCATAGAATGGAAATTATTGACAAATTAATTGAGAAAGATGACACCCATTAATAGATGAATAAATGATTGAGGGAATGTCACTAAAAGAAGAGTACAAGGAAACTCACCATCTGTATGCTTGCAGGGTGAAGCTTTTGAAGATTTAGGACTTGGTGGCAAGATCACCTTAGAAGTTTGCTTACTTGAAATAGTTGTTGTGCACGGCACAAATGGGTCTCCTATGAAGACGTGTGTACGGATAATATAGTTATCAAATGATCTAAGGATAAAAGATTTCATTCATATATAGAAAACAATTGAGTATCATACCATTAATGGAAGTCTTAGGTTTCTCTTTCAGGAAAGAGCTCTTTGTTCTTATGTCACTTTGATGACCCTGGGTAGTTATCAAGCCACCTGTAAAGGCCAAAATAAGTAACAAATATATTACTTAGAAGACAAAACACTGATGTGTTACCTTGTCTTTTTTCTTGCTCTTCCTCGTGAGATTGTATATCATGTCTTGTCATTTCTTCTTTTAACTGTGACTCCATCATGATTGTTTTTTTTTTCATTTCTTTGTTGGCTGACTTGTTCTATGTTAAGATAAATATGAAAGAGGCATAAGCTCAAATATTTAGCATAAATACACGTGTTGGCGTTAGAAATAACAATAAGTCACATTTGAGTATTGATTATATAATGAACTAAATGACATGTTTGTTGTTCATATTACTTTTACTAGTTATAATTAAATCAAGTAGATGATAGTTGTTTTAGTTTTCTTTTGAATTTGGGTCTTGAGAATTACTTGAATACCGCCTTTTTTTTCAATCAACCTGCATCAAACTAAATAGTTAGTGCTTACTTTTTAGGCTGCATATAATGTACCATTCGATGTACCTTTTTATGGTTCTGTGAGCCTAATTTGGATTGTTGTGGATCAATCATGATTCTTTCATTTCTCACCACTTTGCCCGCTGACTCATCCTATGTGAAAGATAAATATATCAAAGGCAAAAGTTTGAACAATCTAGCATGAATAAAGAATAATAATCTACAGTAAATAATAATAATAATAATAATAATAATATCACTTTTAAAGATGCATTTTGTGATATCAAATAACAATTTTGTTTAGAATACTTGGGTATTCCCTTCGTAGTAATTCTCCGAAGTAGTATCTTTCTTTACTTTCATTGTTAGAAAGAAATGTTGCCCTATACCTCAATAAATATATTATCAAGGGAAAATCATAGAGAAATCTCACCAAGCAACTTAATTACTTAATCCTATTTATGCGTGATCCTTTGTAATTAAAAGGAAACATTATTCAGCTTTATCTGTTTGTTTAGAGTTTGATATAAAAAGAATAAGCATGACTTTGAAGCAATTTTCTTCAATAGTTCTGTTTGTTGCATAGACAGCCTACAGGATAAAACTTTGCTTAGTTCATGTCAAATTCATTGAAAAATTGGAATATATATATCATATATATATATATAATATTTATATATTTATGTGTTTGAGAGTTTACTGTTGGCATTTTTGATATAACTTTCAAGATATATGTTTTTCTTTTAGCAACTGCATTTTTTTTTTAAAAAATTCATTGGGTTCATATGACACTAGAGACATAAGTAAAAAATAAAAAACTATAAATAAAAGACAATCAATCTCAGTTTTGGTCATGCTTTTCTGGAATTAGTTCTGATTTTTAGACAAAAAATTTTAGGAAAATTATTTTAGGGGTTTAGAGAAGTTAATTGAGGAAGAAAGTTTTATAAAGTGTCTCAAAATAATTTAGGTGTCCTAAGCCCAAGAAGAAAATTGGCCCAATGTTAGCCCAATATAATTTTAGTGCCTCACAATAATTTTTTGTGCACCAAGTCCAAAAAGAAGAGCATCAGATTTGTTGAGTGGGACTCATGAAATGACAAAATGAGAAGCTTATGTAGTATATATTGCCTCTGCTTAAACCACTCCGAGGCACCTTCACATTCATTTTCGCTCTTGCAAGTTGCAACAGCAAGAAGGGAGGCCAAGAAGTGATCGACGAAGAAGCAAAGCTCTTCCTTCCCATGCAACCGAATATTTAGGTAAGGACCTTAAACCACCTTCCATCAATATTTTCTCCGGTGGCTGTGTGTTCTACAAGGAGATGAGAAGTTTAAATTTGATTTTTTAGATGATGGATTATAGCTTGTGGGTGTTGATTTTATTCCATGCATGTCGATTTGTGTGAGAAGATGTGGATTTTTGAATCTGGAGTTTCTATTTCAGGGGACTATTATTATTTGCCTTCTCTTACGGGAGCTCAAAACTGGAATTCAGAAGCTGAATTTTTCTCACCGTTATAATGTTTAATTATGTAATAAAATTATATTTAAGTGGGAACTAAAATACAGTAAACACCTAGAGGCTTCAAGTGACATATGGATGAAATGAAGTGGTTAAACCAAGTTTTATTCTCTTCCCCTGTTCGATCAAAGTCATTGGAATTGAGAGAATTAAGTTCAGATGAGTCTAAAGTCTAAACCCCAAAATGAATTTTTAAGAGGAGTTTATGAATCTGGAAAATTTTAGAATGTAAAGGGAAGGCTGTCCAAAACTTTAAAAGCGGATGAACTACACACGTAAAAAGTCTGGTGGCTCCTATACAGTGATCAGATGGGCAGTAGGAATGTCAAAGTATTAGCTTTGTGAACTTTAATTCTTATCCCCTGTTTGGACAAGTTAAAAATTTTGCGACTCAGAGAGGTTTGAATGATACTGTTTTGACAAGTTATAACATGAAACACGTGTTTTAAATTCCCAAACTACACCAAAGGCATGTCTAAAGGTCCTTAGCTTGATGACTCTTTTGAAGTGATTGGCAATAAGAGAGGATTAAATTTTATAAGCTTTTCTCTTAGGCCTTGTTTTTGGATAGCGTAGTTTTTTTAAGAAAGGAAGTAAAGTTTTGGTTAAATTTGAATATGATAATGAACTTAGCAGAGACCTTGGTGTAGTAGCAAGTCTCTGGCATAAGTTTGAGACTGTTAAACGCAAAATCAAATTTGCAAGGCTGTCCTGTTCGGCCTGCATCCTTGAGGGAGATAAAGATGAACATTGATTAATTTAAAGGCTCCAATGGTTTCAAACGCAGTACAGTAGTATCGGGGAGGGGGAGTTAAGAATTAATTAGAGCATAAAGCATTTTCAAGAGCTAAATTTAGAGCTTTGAACCACTTTTTTTGGAGCTCTATTGCACTAGTTATGAATTTTTAAAGTATTTTAGAAAATCTCATCCTAGCAATATGGGAAAGCATTAGTGATAGAGCCTATAGTGTTTCGGGGGAAAAAGTTTTTAATTGTTGGCCTTTCTGGGATTCTAGGGGGTCAAAGCGGTTTCTAAATGGCTAAACATCATTAATTGGTAAGCCTAGATAAGGTTTGACAGTAACTTTATTTATTTCCTTTGTTCAAAGGAATATTATTATTTACTAATTTTTTATTTTAGATTTCCAACCCAATCCTTAACAAAATTAAAATAAATTCTCAAAGGTTTGCCACCTTATAAAATTAGAGCCATATTATGTAACAAAAAATCAATCAAATGATGATGATGTCTGTTTGGTATTTTTAAAATAGCATGCTTATCACAATGGAATTATATATTGTTTCTTCAATACCCTGTCCAAAACTACAAGTTTTTTTCGCCAGTTTACATCAAATTGATTATGCAGTTGGAATACACACAGTTGTGTGTACCCACGGGTGGGTATATTGTCAATATTTTAAATATTTTCAAACTCTGTTTTTCTCACAAAAGGGATAGAATATTTTGACCATTGCCACCAAATTAAAACAATCAAGCATGCATATAATCATGATGGGGACCTTTGGAGAAGCAGTAAAATGATGGCATTTGGCAATTAAAATCATACCTCCATGAGGGGTTGTTGTGTTGCTTCTCCTGTATTTAAAGATTGTTTGGTACAGAGATGAGAAGGAAGTGTCTCCTCTGCTTTTTTTTCAACTTGAGAATATGCTGTTTCAGGGCCTACTTGAAGCTGGGTCGTTGAAATTTCTGCAAGTAGGATTTTTAATGTTATAATAAAACTCATATAATAATTTTCAATTTTAAAGAGAATAAATACTTCTCTGAATGCATACCATAAAAAGAAAACTTGGGACAACCATATACTCTCGTATTATTGTCTCCTTTCAAAGTTTGAAAATCAATCCCACAGCAGAGACTAGCAAGATTGGGAAGATCTACGAGTTTCAATCGACTTAGTTGTGGAAGCACATCCTTCATGGCCATCTCTTTCATCTCTCCTTGTCTTACCAGTACATGCTCAAGTTCATTGGCTCTAAATATCTCCAAAGATCTTAGTTCTGGAAGGATACCAGAAATAGTGATAGAGAACAGGTAGCTCAATTTGTCACAATCACTGACAGAGACTAGTTCTAAGTTGGGAAAGCATGGTTCACGGCACAAATGATGATCATCATCATTTTTTTCATAATCTTCTTCAACAATGTTAACTAATTCTTCACATTTTGATATACTGAGCTTCTGCGACATTGGTAGGCTTCTCACCATACACGCAGGGCATCCGAAAGCATGTGCTGGGAATAAATATTCCATTGCATTGCAGTCTGAAACTTCTAACCCTTTCAACTTTGGAAAGATGGAATAATTGTAGTTCATGTGAGTTCCAGCATCTGCCTCATCTTCTACAATGCACTTCAGCTGATCACAGCTCATAATTGTCAAATCTTCCAACAAAATTGTAGAGGCAAGGGATAGAGTTGACAATGATATTACGTTCTGACATCCCCATAGGCGTACTTTTCTAACATTCTTCAATGATTGCGCCAGCAAGATTTGAGATGCATGGAAAGGAGGAACTCTGCCTGTAGATGAATTTAATTCCTACAAACACAAATCTTTAAAAAGTTATATCTATCACCAACAGAATAAATCACTCTTATTTTAAAATAAACAATATGCAAGATTAGAATATATAATAATACATAATAAATCAAAGATATTTTTAACATGACAACAGTTAGTAAAATAAATCATTCTTATTCCAAAACAAACAATCAGTGAAGATTCATTGAAAAAAACAATCAGGAAAATTTGAGCGTGTACATTTTTTATGTAGTCATATCATATGCAACAAATAATATCAGAGCAAATAAAAACCTAATTCAACTCTTTATGATCTCCCTTACGCCCCATTCCATTTGATAATTTGGTAATGAAAAATTACGTAAAATGTTTATAATGGAAAAAAAAATCTGTTCTGTTTCAAATGATTATTGCCTTTGTGTGTGTTATTCTGTCCGACATGTGGATAAACATCGGAATCTGTAAAAGATTTGCAATTTGACCCAAATGTTTTATTTAATATTAACTTGGTCCATACAATTTCATTAAATAAATAATTAAATTATCCATATACCTAAGTATACGAGTGGTTAAAAAAAGAACACAGCACATTAACTGAAACTGTATTGATGTCAATAAGGAACTCAAAGCTTGATATATATTTTATTTGACATTTTGAAATCATGAAGACCA